CCTTGTAGGGTGCGGTGTCTGGCTCGGTGCAGGCTACTGACCGGCTGATGAAGGAGCTCAGGGATATATACCGATCACAGAGTTTCAAAGGCGGTGAGTTTGCCTCAGAGAGGGGTCTGAACATGAGCTCATAAAGAAGGACATGATGGTGGCAGCAGATGCACAGATGCTTATGAAGTTTTCAGGCCAAGGATGGAACACCCCCACTCCAGTGGCTTAGATTGGATGCATGTCTGTCTGGGGTGAACCTGGAGCCTTTGACCTTATTTTCTCTCAGCATGGGAGAGGGATCTGCATCGGGGACCACTAGCTACTTGGACCATCAGCTAATGACACCCATCTTCCCTGCTTCCAGGAAACTATGCAGTCGAACTCGTGAATGACAGTCTGTATGATTGGAATGTCAAACTCCTCAAGTGAGTGGGGACTGTGGGATTGGAAAAGAAGTTGAGTAGTGAGTGGAGCCACTGTGGTGGGAGTCTCCGGGGCCGTCCCAGGGAGCGGGAGTGGGCAGTGGCTTGGCCCTCTGCTGCTCGCCCAGGGTTGGTGGGAGCCTCGAGGCTCCTGAGCTGGACCTGGAGCTGAGCCTGAACTCGTTGCTTCCTAGAGTTGACCAGGACAGCGCTTTGCACAACGATCTCCAGATCCTCAAAGAGAAAGAAGGAGCTGACTTCATCCTACTAAACTTTTCTTTTAAAGTAAGGTCTTCCTTTCAAGTCCGTCCCTGGCCTAGGCTTCCTTCTCCATCTTACAGTGCTGCAGAGGGCACTGGCCTCCCCTCCCTGATTGTTGCCTCTGTCTCTCTCAGGATAACTTTCCCTTTGACCCGCCGTTTGTCAGGGTTGTGTCTCCAGTCCTGTCCGGAGGGTGAGTAGCTCAGTAAGGGCAGAGGGTGAGGAAGGGTGGGGAGCTTTTGCCAGTCACAGCTGACTAACCTTTCTTCTACAGGTATGTTCTGGGCGGAGGTGCCATCTGCATGGAACTTCTCACCAAGCAGGTGAGCCTGTCTCTCATTCTTGGCCCGGCTGGCCTGGGCAGGGCTAGGCTGAGCTTTAACCACCCTCCCCCGCACCCCACCCCACTCCACCCCGGGTTGGGCGATGGGCACAACGTGGCCCTTTCATTCTGCCTCGCAGGGCCTGTACCCACTGACCTGGGCAAATGGGTGATGGCCATTCTGGGAGTGAAGGGCAGGGGCCCTTCTGTAGGTGCAGCTGCTCTCTGGAGGACAAGCATAAGGTTTCTCTGGAAACTCTCCTGACTTGTTTGCTTTGTCCCTGTCGTTACTTAGGGCTGGAGCAGTGCCTACTCAATAGAGTCAGTGATCATGCAGATCAGTGCCACACTGGTGAAGGGAAAAGCACGAGTGCAGTTTGGAGCCAACAAAGTAAGGAGCCTGGACCTGGGCCTGGTGGGACTGGCTGGAGCCATACACGCTTTAGGCCACTAGGAGGCCAAGGCGGCCTTCTTTTAGGGACTGAGAGGATAAAATCTGTGGGCTGGCAGCATCGGATGAGTGGGCCTAGGATGCCCGCAGTGGGAACAGGAGCAGGGCCTTGGTCTGAGAGGCAGCCTAGGACTTTGGGGAGGGTGCAGGTCTGGAAAGGGAAAGCTAGGGGATTGTGCCCTGAGGGGACCTCCCAGGTGGAAGGTATTTAGTGTGTCAGCAGAGCATGGTGCTGGGAGCTGGGACTCCTGGGTGGCAACAAGGCCACAGCTGGCCTTGCTCGGTGGCCTGATTTAGTGGCTTCCTCTCCCCATCTCCCCAGTCTCAATACAGCCTGACAAGAGCACAGCAGTCCTACAAGTCCTTGGTGCAGATCCACGAAAAAAACGGTGAGGCTGGTGCCACAACTCGAGATTCGGACTTTTGCCAAGCCTGAGGTTTCCACTTCCAGCCAAACAGCAAGAACCCCTTTTGGTTTCCGAGCGTTTACCACCCATTAACACAGCACCTGCCCCTGTTCTCCAAAGAAGTCAGTGAGGTGGAGGCTAACGTCCGCCACCTCTTCTCCAGTAAAGCACCAGCGGTCCATAGCGCCGGTAGACTCAGTGCTGCCCCTCTTCCCCACCACCCTGTGAGAAAGCTCATCTCACTCTGCTGTCATCTCAGGTTGGGCGCATCATTCTCCCTTTCCTTATAATCTCCAGGTAGGCAGTTTCTTACCTTCCCGTACACTTTCTCCCCGCACTGGGGAGCCCTTTCTAGACTCTTTTCACCTTTGACCCTGGAGATGTCTTCAGTGACTGGGGCCGGGAGGGTGGACATCAGCCTCCACCTCACTGTTTTCTTCGCACTGGTTTCTTTGCAGGCTGGTACACACCCCCGAAGGAAGATGGCTAACCCGGGAGTGCCATCCCCTTCTTCCTTCCCCAGGCACCACTGGACCAATTACCTTTGAATGCTGTATTTGGATCTCACGCTGCCTCTGTGGTTCCCCCCCCTCATTTTTCCTGGACGTGATAGCTCTGCCTATTGCAGGACAATGATGGCTATTCTAAACGCTAAGGGAAAAAAAAACACAGAACTGTTTCAAGTACTCAAGACTGACTTACAGACCAACCAACCACCTGGCTGGAACCCTTGCTAGCAGGCATTCTTATAAAAGAAACTTTCGAGCCTCCTTATATTGCTGGAAACTCAGCTGTGCTCCAGACTAGAGCCTCCTTACCTATGCTATGGATTTTTAATTTATTTTCTCTTATTTCATGTACACTGCTTTTTTTGGTTACAGTGTATGATGGATGTGTATGAAAAAAAAATGTATCTTTGGGAAAACAATTACAGTTTGTTAATTTGAAGATGCTGGTCTTGACTCATCTTTATTTTTATCCCCACGTCCCACCCCACCCCCACTCCTGAACTACTTGAGCAGTGGGGGAGGGGCACCAAGTCCTCCGTGGCTTTGGTAGCTATGAGGGGCTGTGCTTCGCTGCTAAAGCCAGAGAAAGGTGGAGCTGAAGCACGCACCTGGCTCGCCCCTTAAGGCCTCTGGAGTGACCAGCACTTGTACCCCTTGGAATGCAGAGCCTGGCCTGCTGAACCACAAA